TTTACCCTAATAAATATAACAATAAGAATAAATATAGTAACTATAATAATAATAAATATAGAAACAATATATATATATATAAAATAAAAAAAAAGTTAATAGCTATAATAATAATTATTATTAATAAATATAATAATAAATATAGTAATATTAAATTTAATAATAATAAGTATAATAATTCTCCAAACTAAACCCCTTTTTGTACAATTTTTTAAAATGTAAGACTTCATTATGCGTTATTACGCTCAAGAGAGTTTTATGTTCTTATTTCTTTAAATATTTCTCTTTCTCATCAATCACAACACACTGGACGCGTGGCCACGCATAAGAACTTTGTCCATTCTGCTCATCCAACCATGAATTTGTTACCTGCATCAAAACACCAAAAATCAAGGCATGAGACTTACTCACAAACGCAACAAACTCAAAGCACACAAAATAAAATTAAAACACTTGGGTTGTCTCCCAAAAAACGCCTTTGTTTATTGTCGTTGGCTCGACACAACATCTCTTAAGCTAATCACGCGGCTCAAAAAGAGCTACGCACTCCACTTCTTTGCTCTGGAACCCCTAAGGCTTAAGACGATGTTTATTCACAACAAATCTTTTATCCATGCTAAAACTTTGGATCTCAATTGTACCACACGGAAACACATTAGTTACCACAAATGGACCTATCCAATGATAACGAAGTTTACACAGAAAAGTCTTAAGATGAGAATGATAAAGCAAAACCTTTTGACCAACCTTAAAATCTGTTCTCAAAATATTTGGATCATGAAATTTTTTACTATTTCCCTTAATAATTCTCGCATTCTCGAAAGTTTTGTTCTGAATCTCCTCAAACTTTTGCAATTGCAATTTCCTTCTTTCTCCAACTTCAAAGACTTCCTGCATATTTTGATCAAGGACATCTACACAATACAAAGCATGAGGTTCCACGGGATCATTCGATTCATCAAAAATATTGATATGACCCATTACACCTTCGAATTCCATGGTAAGTGTCCCCTTTCTAACATCAATTTTTGTATGTGCAGTACACTTATTGCCGATAATACGGCATTTGAGCTTAAATCTGGACTAATACATTTATTGTCATCTTTTCATGGCTTGACAGGGAAAAGTAATACACAATGGATGTTGAATTAAATCGAGAGCAGCTAGCTCTCTCAGACTTCTCTGTCCTTCCATTGGGTGTATCACAACTTCTTCAACTCCCTTGGCCTCTTCACTCTCGTGGGAACTAGAACTGTCAGCTAGTTGGATAGTAAAGTCAGGTTCCGGCGACTCAATTTCTTTTTCAACCCTCTTTCGGTCTCTAGCTTCTTTCCTCAAACGGTGTGCAGTCCTTTCGATTTCTGAATCAAAAACTAATTCACCTATACGACCAGTTCGAGGCATAAACCATTAAGTGAAAATTAGAACTAAATAAATAAAAGAAACAACCAAATATAAAAAATTCTTATATTGTTCCCAGGCAACGGCGCCAAAACGGCACGCGTGTTACACAGCTGTAAAATAAATTATCAGTTCCTAAGCTACAAAAAATTTGCAAAATTTAGTAGTTCAGTGAGTAGGGTAGTCTCCGCAGGGAATAATAATAATATTGAATATTCGGTTATTTATAATTATACTGTATATATAATGGGGGAGGGGGGTTGCTTTGATTTATCACACTAAATAAGGAGAAAATAAATTTGCTCAACTAAATAAAATAAAATAAAATGCAAGGCGAATTACCAAAGATGATTAAACTCTAGCATAGGCATGAATTTTCTGTTCGGGATATAAATTTTGTTCATCAACTAAAAATCAAGTTCATTGACTAGTTGGATAAATTGGTTATAGTTGATCTACACGCGTTCACAACCAACCTTTCCTAACTGTTTCGATAGCTAAGGTACGACCGTTAGCTATTTCCCTAATCGAGTGAGAATCTTAGGTATGACCGTAGTTTTACTTACTCGACAGCTTTAAGTACTAGAAAGGCCCAATTCAATTTAACAAAATTCCTACTCGGATTTGCTTAAAATTGATTCTAATTCTTCCCTAGAGTATTCCTCTAGGTTGCTACACCAATTAAAAAATTACACAATTACGGGTGCCAATATCTAATTTAGATAAAAAGAAAAATCTCAAATCAATACGTGCGCAATAATCAATTTAAGAATTCTAAATTTATAAATTAGAAGAATTAGAAATACTCAATATCAATGATCACCCAATTAAACAAACCTAAGTCTCACAAATTCAATCCCAAACATCAATTTATACCTACGCTAGAAATGAAATTACTCGGAATTCATAGTAATTGAAAACACAAAATAAATAAAGAAGTTCATCATGCCTTCATTTCGAAATCGAAAAAGAAGAACAATACGAGGATAGAAGAAGAACACTCCGAAAAGTCGTCTACAATCGTCTGAAGAGAACGTGGTAGTCCCCTTGTCTTCTCCTCTTCAATTGAAAAAATCGTGTATTTCAAAGTCTATCCCAAGATCCCCTTTTAAATAGATCACCTTTGCACTTCAATCCTCACATACTCTTTATATTGTTAATTTACCTCAAAGGGTCTTTTTGTAAATTCCACATTTCTCACAGTGTGTTGCGTGATCACGCCTAAAACCTTCGTGCGTTCTGCTCATTGTACCAAATACACCCCAAAATATGTCAACTCCATGAAACATATTACGCAATAAAAGATACACCATGCGTTGCATATATACGAAATTTCGTATCTCAAAAGTCACCCAAAACATAATAAAATATTATTATATACAACACATATCAATCTGCTATCGGTCATATGTCCGCTGTCTGTCTATTGTCTGCGTGCGATCTGAAATTTGTCTGCTGCTTGTCTGTTGCCTGCGTGCGATCTGTTTTGTCTCTGAAATTTGTTTGAGATCTGCCCGATGTCTGCGAATGTCTGCGGTATGTTCTGGAATCTATCCGAGGTTTGCGATCTATTTGCTGTTTGTGATTTGTCCGATGTCTGCGATCTGTTTTGTGTGTTATCTGTTTATGTTTCTGATTCCATTCAGAGTTTTTTTGTTTTTGGCTCTGGTGGAGAGTCAATTGTTTTCGGTTCCGGTGGAAACTCATGTCGTTTTCGGCCCCGATAGAGAGTCAATTGTTTTCGGCTTCGGTTGAAAGTTATGTCGTTTTCGACTCCGGTGGAGAGTCGTGTCGTTTTCGGCTCTGGTGGAGTGTCGTGTCGTTTTCGGCTCCGGTAGAGAGTTATGTCGTTCTCGGCTCCGGTAGAGAGTTATGTCGTTATCGGCACCGGTGAAGAGTTAATTGTTATTTTTATTTGCGTTTTTTGCGTCTATGTTCAACTTTCTTATCAAACTCAAGATGATTTATGTTATACCACTTGAGTTTGAGGGGATGTTAAGATATTTTAGATATTCACTTATAGATTTAGTAGATTTATATTTTATTTGGTCTTATCCATATAATAGATTACTTAAATTTGAGTCTATTGATTTTGTTTTGTATTATTTATATATAAATCCTTATATTTTTACAATCAATAACACAATTTCACTATTTTTCTTTAAAAATTTCTAACAAATTGCATGCAGTGTATTGTATTGTATAGTATTAGTCAGCCTGCAGCTGCAGCATGGAAACGTTGGTTAGTTTTGATGTGTCTGTTGTGGATATCAGAAATTGAGCAGACGATAATCCATTCCAGGCCCTCTCCAACCCTGACTGAGTACTAAAATGGTTTTCTCAACTCACTCAGTCATGTCACTTTGGTCTTTGGATGATATCTGTTTTTCTAAAAATTACCATGCGTATTTATGTTGATTTTCGTTTAGAAAATAAATATTTTTTAAATGACTTGATGTAGGCATTGTCAGCCATTCTAAAACCCATAAGTTGTTTGTCCAGAATTCTAGTCTAACCCAATGGAATGAATTATATAATATTTCATCTGTCCTAGTTAAAATATTAAAATATTTTTGATAATATAAATATCAGAATTTTGATAAAATATAATTAATAAATAATTTAAAAATATATTAATAAAAATAATTATAAATTAATTAGAATAATTAATTATTTTAATTAAAATTAAAAAATTATAACTTATAAAATTTAAAAATACGATTAAAATATAAAATTATATTTTTAAAAAGACAAATTTAGTGGAATAGACAACCATAGAAAAAATAAATATGGAACGAAAAAGTATCAGACAGTGCAACAAACATAGACATGGGCGGGCATGGCAGGGCAGGAAAGGCAGGTACCAAACTTGCTCAGCTCTTTTGAAACAAGCATTGCGTTTCCCATCTTATCTTCTCTTTATCCTATCTTTTCTTTCTCTTCTCTTGAACAACATTAAGTTAGTTCAAAGTTCCCAGCAACAAAAAAAAAAGTTCCCAGCAAAAGTGGCGATCTTAGGTAGCTTCTTCACCGTCAGTTTAATTTAGGGTAGCTTGAAGAAAAGCAAGCAAGGGGAACCCATGAGGAACTATTACCAAATATATGTGCATACCATGCCATCCATCTTTCAAGGAATTAGAGAATAAATGAATGAACAAAGAAAGACGAACAAATTTCAATTTGGTTGGTGAATTGGCCACAACTTTTGGTGCAGTCCAGTGACTCAGTCCCTTTCAATCACACGCACAGAGGCAGACAGACAGGGACAGGGTTGGGTTCCCATCCCTTCCCTTCCCTTACCAAAAATTTTAAGGTTGCCTTGCCTGCCTGCCTTACCTTACCTTACCTTACCTTACCTTAGGCAAGTCAGATCATGTGCCCATACAATCAATCTGTCGCTCTTGCATCATGCCCTGTACCTGTCTCTGTCACTGTCCCTGTCCTTGTCCATATCTTATCCATTGATGCAGTGTTCCCCAAAAATTGGTCGTTTCTGCAACGCTTGCATCTTCATGGCCACACATTTAGATATACTTATTAAATTGGAAAACGAAAAACAAAAGTGGAGAAAGAGATATATGTATGTGTGTATGTATGTGTACAGTGTACGTATATAAAACAAGAGAAGGGGCAAGGGCCAGGCGCGGTAGGGAATATGGACTAAGGCTTGGCTTGGCTTGGCTTGCTAGAATCAATTCCATTTTATTGTTAATCATCAGCGCGTGCGTGTATCGCCGCTGTCGCCAACTTGATTCTTCAATTAATTAATTAAATAATTATAAACCCACCAATTCTACTAGCTTGGTCAAGCTAAACCTAAGATTTAAACCTAATGGTGCTGTGCAGTCGTAGCATCGCAATTCACACCCCGCACCGCCCAGCCCACGCTCCACTATTAATATTATCAGCGTCATCATCGTCTCATAATAAGATCTATTTTTCCGGGTTAGTACTTGTTTAATTCTACGCTCCCTTGATTTGGACTTCCATTGGAGTTGGAGAAGAGGATCGCCATGGCTGCTGAAATCAAGAGGTAATTATGGTAATTTATTGTTTGTGTTGGGGTTTGCGATTGATTAGCAGCAAGCGGCTATATGGTGATGGATTTGATTTGATTTGATGTTCTTGATTTGGCCTGGCCCTCGGAAAGAGGGAGGGATCTTTGGCCGTTTGATTGGTTGTTTTGCCAGATTTGATTGATTATTGTGATGTTTGAATTGCTATGTTTGTTTATTGGATTTAGGGTAAAGCCTTTAATTCCCGGTAAATAATTATCAGACAATTAATCTTGATTCAATTCGTTTTGTTTTATTTTGAAATGACGAGACGTTGCTGAAAACAGAAAATTTCTGAGTTCATTTATACATACATAGGAAAGAGTTATGTGCGTGGAGTACCCATCAATCCATCCCCACCCTTTTGGTGGTGAATTGAAGAGGATGGAAATGACTACTAGTAATTATTAATATTGATTGATAGGTGGAACAAGAAGAGAAAGCAGCCGGCGCAAGATGAAGTGGGAGAAATGCCCTTTCCAAAGCATCATAATAATAATAATAAGAAGAAGAAGAAGCATGTGTGGCGGGAATTGCAATTGCAATTGCAAAGCCCTGGTGCGGATTGCGACTCTTGTTCTTCTTCTTCTTCGTCGGATTCAAACGCAGCAGACGTCAACACCAACTTCAACTTGTGCACCACTGCTGCTAGTACCCAACACTCCTCCTGCTCCTGGTCCTCCCAAGAAGAAATGAACACATCCGATGACCACCCTTCCACTTATTCCGATCATCTTTCCTTATCAGGATCCATTCAAAGTACTGATATTGATACACAGCTACCGTCATCAATCGACCAATCCGATAACTTAGCTTACTGTATATGCTCATGCTCGTGCTCATGCTCGTGCTCATCCTCCCATTACAAAACTAATGCCGACACTACAGACCTTGAGAATCTACCTTTTTACTCCAAGGTAGTCGTCCATCCTAACAACTACATTCTTTCGTCAGGCAGGTGGTCGGTTAATCAAGGTATCGATTTATTGTGAAACTCAATTTTTCTGTGCCTGTACATTTTGGATCAAAGATTGAAACCTTTTTTTTAAACCGTGTCCAGATGATCGGGCTCAACTGGGAGGCGAGAAACTAACGATCGACAAAGAGTTTGAACAATATTTTTCCATGCTTATGCTCTAGTAGTTGTACAATGTGTGTAGTAATGTGCGAGGCATGGCGAAAACTTCTCTATCACCGCCTTCACCTGTACTGCATCTATGTATGTATGTATGTTTGTATTTTATAAGGAAATGAATGTACATAGAATATTAGTGCAATAGGTCTGATGGAGAAGAGTCTAAGACTAAGTCTATCAAGTAAACATCTTAAAAGTATTCTAAGTCATTCTTAAGAGTTTCGAAATATTCCGGAAGATTTCATTACCCTCTGTGGACTCTTTGGGAGTTTTGTCTGGATTATCCTCAACCACACGTTTGCTAAGTGGGGAGGGGATCACCAACCCCCCTCCACACCTCACTGACATTATGTACGCATAATGTATATATACATATATATGTATGTGTCTGTCTATTAATGAAGGGTGCGGGAAGCGGAGGGGGCGGGTGATCCCCTTCCTTGCTAAGTACAAAAGAATGCTGCCATTTATGATCATCTAACTCTGCAAAGTTAAACATTTCTATAAAATAAAAAAAGTTAGAAATTTCTATATTACCAACAAATATATGAAAATATCTAATCTTAATCCTCAAGCCAAACATAGTCTACAGTCACTAGTTAATTTAAATTCGTCAAAGTAACCGTGTGCCTCTTACCCAGTCATTTTGTCTGCTATTAAGGCAGACTTTTCGACTGAACTAAACATTCACGAGGATAAGACTTTTTAGAAAGAGAACTTTTACAGTGAGAGAAGCGGGTGGCCGGTAACACTTATTACAGGCGTGCTCGCCGCTCATTTTATTTAATTCCTCAATTTAGATAGATTTATGAGCGTTTTAGTATAAAATTCAAGTTAAATTTGTAGTATAAATCGTAATATTAAATTCATAATGTATTCCATTCTACTTCAAGACGATGAGATTATAAATATACATATACTGTCATTTACATTGCCAGGATTTTTCCTTTTTGCCTCGAAATTTGCTTCGGAATCAATTTAAAGATCGTAAAAATACATATATAATAAATATTGAATTTATCAATGTTTTTTTGCCGAGGAAGACTATCCAAAATAGGGTCGCATTATCCAAAACTATATTGAATATACAATTTGCTATAGTAAATGGTCTAAAATATAGTTCAGAAATTCCGAGACTTTTAGACTCGGAACTTGCGAACCTTTTAATTAGTTTTGGAAATTTTGAAACTTTTATTAATTTTGGAAATTCCGAACCTATTTTGATTAGTCTCGAAAATTTTAAATCGTTTAGTCTCGAAAATTCTGAACACGTTTTAAATTCCGAGACTTTTATTACTGTTGAAAATTCCGAATCTATTTTGATTAGTCTCAAAAATTCCGATATTGTCTCGAAAATTTTGAACCTGTTGTAATTAGTTTTGGAATTTCCAAGACTTTTATTAGTTTTGAAAATTCCGAACGTATTTTATATAGTCTTCGAAATTCTGAACTTTTATTAATTTCGGAACTTCTAAATCTATTTTAATTTATCTTGAAACTTCCGAACTATTTTAATTAATCTCGGAAATTTTGGACCTTATGTAGTTTCGAAAATTCCGAGTCCATTTGTTAGTTTCAGAAATTCTGAACCTATTGTAATTAGTCTCAAAACTTTTGAACTTTTTTTAGTCTTGAAAATTCCAAACCTTTATTAGTCTCGAAATTTCGAAACCTATTTAATTAGTTTCGAAAATTTTCAAACCTATCAAACAATTTAAATCCACCCACCACTATAAATTAATTAAATTTTATTTTAATTTTAATTAATAATTTTGATTGTGATTTTATTTAGATATATATTTATAATTTATTTATTATATAAAAATATATGAATAATAATTGATTAAATTGTTGAAATATTAAATAATTTAAATAATAAATTTAATAAGTAATTAAATTATAAGTAAAATAATTTTTTGGTCTATTTTATTCGCTAATGTGTCAATTTTATTTAAATAGTTTCAGAATGTTAATAGTTTCTTTTTTTAAAAAAAAAACTAAAAAACAAATTCAAATATAAAATTTTATGTCTAAACTATACTACCCTAATTTTAAAAAAAATCAATATTAATTTTTTTCTTTAAAAAAAATTTAAAATTTAGCAGATCCAAAAAAAAGTTCAAATATGTAAACTTTCGCCTAAACTACCCTCCCCTTAAAAAAGTTTCAATATTAAATAATTTCTTTAACAAAACATTTAAAACTTAAAAAACCCAAAAAAATTTAAATATAAAATTTTATGTCTAAACTACCCTACCCAAAATTAAAAAAATTCTTTAAAAAAAATTGAAAAGTTAAAAAACTCAAAATAAATTCAAATATAAATTAATTTGCCGCCCAAACTGCCATTTTCCTATTTTAAAAAAATTAAAATATTATTTTTTTAAATAAATAATATCCAATACATAAAAAATAAAAAGAAATCCTATAACAACATTGCAAACACCCTGTCTCCCACCGCCCCACGAATTAATTTTCCTCCTCATTTATATATATATCTTCCTTAGTTAATTCCTTGTCCTTTTTCCTTTTCCACCGTGTTTTCTCATTTTCCTCCTCGTCCACCTACTGCTAGGCGGCGACAGCGGCCGAGCTTGTCCTCCTCTTTCTCTATCTTCTTCTCCGGCAGGCAGCGGCACCGGCTGGATCTCTTCTTTCTTTTTCTTCTTCTCCTGTGAGGTGACGAAAGCGGCCACAAGCGGGAGCAGAGGTGGAGGCCCGACCTCCTCTTTTCTTTTCATCTTCTCCGGCGGCAGTGGTTGAAGCTCGGCCTCCTCTTTCTGTTTTTTCTTCTATGGCGCGGCGGCAGGCGGTGGCGACGGTGGAGGGCCTGTCCTTCTCTTTCTTTTTCTTCTACTCTGGCGCAGCGGCGGGAGACGGGAAGGCGGCTGCACCGGCAGAGACCCGACAGCCTCTATCCTTTTCATCTTCTCCGGAGCGGTAGCGGCAGAGGCCCAACTCCTCTTTCCGTTTTTTCTTTGCCGGTGAGGCGTTGGCAGTGATGCGGCCGTCCAAACTAAAAAAAAAATAAAATAAAATAAAATTATTGAAGATGAACTTGCTAGATATTGCAATTCTTTATTGTCCAACTCAAAGGTCACAAGCGGAATCATCTCGAGGGCAGGATCATAAGAACTGGGACTTCAAAACTAAGTGTTGATACAATTTTTCAACAATAAAAAGTAAAATTCGAGAATAGAAATTATCTTCGAATTTGATAAAATAAATGTATGAGATTAAGAATTTCTAGACACCGTACGATACAAGTAAACTAGGAAAATAAATATTACAGATTGAAAAAGTAAAATGGTATTCCCAAAAGAAATTTCACTGAATTTAATGTCGATTGAAGATTGAAAATCGAAGATCATTTTCCAGGAGAGATCTGAATATATTCCCTAAGGAAACGTTTCAAAACGCCGCCTGGTCAGTTATAGCAACTGCCGTCAACCGCCCACTAATTCCTCCTCCAATGACACGTGTTTTAACTATTTCACCAACCGCTCTCACCAGTTACAAAACCCAACTGGCTCGATCGACCGCCTCCTGGCACCTTACCTCCTTAAATGGACGGCTGGTCCCGAACGACCACTCAACCGCCCAACAAACTTTAGACACACTGCAGACCGACCGACTGCCTCGAGAAACCCTTTAGCCACCTGATGGACCCAGAGACGGACCCACATATTTCGTACGTAACAACTCGCCCCGCCGCCATCGGACTTCGACCAATCGACAATCCAGATACTAACTGGTCGCTAGACCAAACGACTAATCAGTTGCCAACTCAAGTAACCACCATCCAGTCCCCTCAATTGGCTGAACAACCATTCGTCCAGACGGCTCATCGGTCGCTCAATCAAGCGACCAACTGACCGCCCTCTCAAGCGATTGAACTACTGTTTGACCAAATGACCGGCCAACCAATCAGGCGATTAACAGGCCGCTTAGTTAAGCGACCAATTAATAGCCCTTTTTCACCCGACCAATTAACAGACCTTTCCTCTTGTCCAACCTCCGTATTGGCCGTCTCATCTTTCTTCGCCCGACCTCCTTTTGACCGATCTCCGTATTGGCCGTCTCATCTTTGTTCGCCCGACCTTATCTTTTGACCGACCTCCGTATCGGCCGTCTTATCTTTCTTCGCCCGACCTTATCTTTTGACCGACCTCTATATCGGCCGTCTCATCTTTCTTCGCCCGACCTCCTTTTGACCCTACTACCATTATCAGACCCATTGGACTATATATCAATCCAATTTATAAACCCTATACATTGTCTTTTTTCTTACTCAACAAATTGCCTCCTCCCGCCCGACTCCTAAGCGTTACTTCTTGTGACGTTTAGGAGTTTGTAGTACAGTGCCATCATTACACTGTTTCATGTCACATCGTGGGGTTTATGTAAAAACTCTTCTCTCACCCGTCCATATTTACGTACTTAAAATCTTGAAATTCTCCTTTGTATAAGCCAACCCCGGGTCTCCATCGGCTGTCCTTCAACCGACCTCCATCATCGGAGGCCACGTCAGCATATTTGATGCAGATGTCTTCACCACCCGAACCGGCGGTACCAGGGGTCTCAACTGATAGTGAAGCAACTGCTTCGCAGATGGGCGGACTGCCAGCTGCGGCTTCGGGCTCGTCCTTTATTGGCGAAGAACCAATCGCACCTCTTGCGGCCGCCCAACCAAGAGGTCCCTTGCAGGAAATAGAAGAGACCTCATCTTCTGACTTAGTAAATATTTTTTGTTTCTCCTATCGATAAGGATCGCTTTCCGTACTCCGAATCTCCAAGGACCAAATCAAACTTACTTCCCTTATAAAAATCATTGCCCCCTTGTAATAAAATACACAATCTTTAAGAAACGATTTGAACTTTGGGCGTACCTGAAGTATTTATTAAAATGTCACACAACCGACCCCATGTTCCTTCAAAAAACTGGGAAGGTGTCCTCCAACCCTTCTTTGTGGGTAACCATCCCGTCGGTGGTCATGCTGAAGACTTGTTACACATACTCAAACAACTAGATTTCAAATTCAGATTTTTCCAAAGAGAAAGAAAGACCATTCATCGTGTTGTTCGCCTGATGGAAAACGTATTTGGAGGATATGAAACTCTTCGTGACATCCTAAACCGCCTTCCTGATATCTATCACCATATGGACCTAATTGAACATCACGTGATAGCCATACTTCGAGACCTTGGTTGGGATCATATATTTTCCAA